AACTAATTATTCATATTAAATTGTTCATTATATTCACTTTGTTGACCCCCCCCCCCCCCCCATTCCTCCTCCTCCCCCCCCCCCCCCCCCATGGAAAAGAAAGAGAAGGGAGAAAATGGCAATGCTCTTGCTAACACATCCTTTCCACTGCAACATGACCTGACTGTCAACTTGTCTCGGATGACCACTGCAAAGGTATAAAGGGTAACACCTCACACTCGTCACAACTTACACCGACTTGGCACTTACCGTAGCCTGTCAGGTAGTATGGTAACACCTTACTACTGGTTGAGAACACGTGTACCAGCATGATGTATAGTTGAATACCCTCCAGTGCCATCCATGCAAAGGAACACAGAAAGGTGTAGTGCAGGATGGCGGCAATCACTGAGCATACAATCTTTATAAAAAAAAAAATGTAAAATTGATGATTAGGTGAAATGTTTAGATCATATAGTATCCTATATTTCTACGCGTGCATTAAACAAAGACGTGAGGACAAATGAAATTAGTGAACAATGTGAAAACAAATTCAATTAGCAGGAGATAAACTGATATTTCGAACTGCTCAAGCTTTAAATGGAAGCAAAATAATAATGTAGGGGTAATGTAACGCGTCGTCTTCAAGGAAATCATTAACTGTTTATATAAAGAAAAGAGCAAACAGATATATTCCTGTGGTAAAATTATGAGACCCAAAATAACATATTTCCCTTTTCGGATAAGCTAAAACGTAGGGTAGATGTCTTCTCAGTAATAACATGACCAAAGAGAGGACATTTCAAATCATTGTAAATGGTTTTAAGCAGGGAATCGAATCAACACTGCTAACAAATTAGCAGAACAGTATCAAAACAACCAAACACGAACAAAGGTCAGCAAATGTATACAGTTATAATGTATAATGTTTGAACGAAGTGCAAACAGTAATATGCCAACAGAAATTATTAATTTAGCGACGCCCCTGAGTGTCCTGTGTTGAGGACGGCATAATAAGTTTCGATGCCTTATCATACTCACAGCGTTCTCTGTTCTCTCCACACCGACTAAGAAGAGAAGTTGAGCCGTCAGGAGGGAGATACACAGATTGCGATGGATTGTTGTTCGGGTATTCCGTAGTGATCTACATGCAAGCAAGGGTATAAAAATACTAGGATTAACATTATACCAGAGCAGATTACACGAGATTGGAAGAAAAATAAGAAAGTACTGCTAAGCATAGCATACAAGCAAAGAAAACATTGAAATGCAATAAATAATTTGTTGTTGAGTCATCACTCAAGTAAATTTAAAAAACTGGATATGCTTCCATCTTTAAACCGGAGAGGAAGAAATACAAAAACTAGTTCAGTCGGTGCTATATAAAATTGAATACACTGTAGGGATGCTTTTGAATGCGAGGAATGAAATTTATGACCAGAAAGCAAATATGTAGGCTTACATATCAAACGCATATGTGGTTGTTTTGCTGTGATTTGATATTAATATTTCAATCCAATAAAAGAACTGACGTATGGGGAAAGTTTATATTCTAAAAATGTATAAGACACATGGAAATTGTTGCTTCCGTGGATTTGATGTTTGATCAGAAAATAAATCGATGTTTATCCAAAATGTAGCCAAATAAAAGAACGTACATAAGTATAAGTAACACTAATTATATTCGTATGTAGACCGCTAACTATTGAAGTCTCACGACAGGCCTGCATTGGCGGACAAATCAACAATATCAGTTCTGAAATATTATAATAATTAAGCGCTCTTAACCGTCACGCATTGGAGCTCATGCCGCTTCGACCTTATTGCCGGAGTTAAAGCGTAGCCGCAACGCCAACATCACTAGCGCTCAAGCATATTAGGTACCCATCTAAACCTGGGTGGAGTGTAGCAAATGTAAAGGAATGTTTTTCCAACACGGCCCAAGGAATGGTGCTGCGCTGGTTTTCACACCCCGCACCTTTTGATATGAAGAAAGAACTGACTTACTTGAAGAAACTGAAGGCGAAGACGCAGATAGCAAGACAACCGATGGACACAGAGCAGCCTACGATTGTTAGTATCTCCAGAGCTGTGATATGGGCATCAGATATCTAGAAGAAGATTATTAAGAGATAAAAGTGTCAACCGTGCACACTTTCCTTTGTTACAAGAAGATGAACATGTTCCGAGATTCGGAACTTAGTACACGATTTTAGTGACATTCTTTATGATGCATATTGAAATCTAATTTCATTTTAAGCATAAAAAAAAGACCAATTCATTCTTGAGGAACAACAATTTAAATCCGATGACCAACATTGATGTATATCTTGTTCATTGGCTGAACAATAAATGATTACATTGCATTATAAATATAACATATGAAATAACAGTACATAGATTTAAAATTGAAATTTGATAGTTTTATAAATGTTATCATGATCTTCATGTCATTTTAATTCAATTATTTTCTTCACAATTCCAAGATGGTGTTAAATCAAATAAACCTCATTTCATTGTCTATGTAACTCTTTTATGAACCGACTGCGAAATCTCATTATCTGATTGATACACGTCTATAAAAACCCAATACACACACACACACTCTATGCCATCACTCAAAATATTTATGAAATGGTCAACGCAACAAGTTTACTTACCTCTTGGTAGACGCCGGTGACGTCGAGGAGGATGGCGAAGTTAGTAAGATGGTCGCAGGCGCATGTGGTATGAGTTCGATTACTCTTGACGACCACGCAGCCATTCGATGACCAGGAGCCCGAAGGCGTCTCCGTCCTGAAATTAGATTTGATTTTGAATTTTTGTTATCGATAAAAAAAAAAAAAACGTGTCAGTGATATTACATAACGGAATAGCCCTCTTTATCCAGGACAGCTGTTCTGGTGATATCAACGAACAAGACAAAATGTTATCATCCTACTGATCCATGACATACATGTATATTTCTACATTATACCAATATTCCTAAATTAATGATAATAATAATAATAATAATTACATTTATAGGGCGCTTTATACATATGTTTCTAAGCGCACAGGTGGTACTGTCTAACTTTTAATTATTTAACATGTTTAATACCTTAAAAGCAACAAAGTAATATTAAATATTACTAATACAATGCAATACAATACAATACTTGTGTGCGCCTCCAGTAAACTATAACTGATTACAAAGGTGGGTTTTGAGAAGGGTTTTGAATGATTCGATGGATGGGGCATTTTGAATATGGGGTGGGAGTTTGTTCCAGAGGGCGGGGGCAATCGATGAAAAGGCACGGTCACCAACATACCCCATCTACCCAGCCAAAAACAACCCCCGTATCTATACAAGTCAACTCTAACTCACTTGTAACTCGCTTGATCCTGGGTTTTTTAGTAAACTTTGATTGAGCCCCATTTGTGTACGAATAGACAGACATTCATGCGTCTGTTTGATGAAAGGAATGACCTTGGTATTCGTTTTTATTTAGCATTTGTGTTGACTGTAAAACTAGTCATAAGAGTTTCAAATGGAGAATATGCTGCATATCCTTTTTATTCACCTGCATGAGCAAAATGAACACTGTGCTAAAACTCAATATACAGTCAAACCTGCTTTAGTGACCACCTGTCTACAAAGACCACCTGTCTACTTGGACCACATTTTTTCCCCATGAAAATGGTTTCTCCTTGAAACATGTACTAAAGAAACCTGTTTACAAAGACCACTTTTTGTGTTTCCCCTGGCCGGTTGCTATAGACAGGTTTGACTAATTATGTAATTATGTTTGTGTCTGTCTCCAGGATTTTCATCAACCCTTTTCTGCTAAGTTCATAGGTGTGATGACGGATCCCAAAGATATACTCCAGCCTACTTACTTGTTGGTCGAGTCCCAAAATGCGCAGCTCACTGAACCTGTGAGGTTTGTCTGAAAATGAAAATTTAAAATCCAATCACCTAAGCTTACTAGCCACTCATCAGAGACATATATGCAAACGTTTATCTAGATAAATGCTGATGAGTCCGTTTCCAAAGAAAACAGATCTAATATCTAACATAAACCTCTTAAATCCTTTGCAAACGCAGGCACGTAGCCAGAGTTTGATGTTTTTTTTTTTTTTGGGGGGGGGGGCACATACATGTAATCGATCGAGGTCAAAAAAGGGTCTAAAAAAAGTTCAACCGATGCAAAGTGTGAGGTTGTCCTGCTTTTTCGATGCTGCCACTGTGAAACGTTTTCCGGTAGATGAGAGTGTGTATTTGGGAATAATATTAGTTTACATTTGTTAATTAATGAGCGAAGAATACGAGCTGGTATATACTTTTGGAGGGTGATTTCTTACGTTTTCGTGCTTTAGGATGAACTCGAATTTCTCTCCTCTTGCAAATGTCTTGACTGATGTATTTCCCCTGGATGCTGAAGCCCCGAAGACGATGGTGTTAACTACCGATTTGTTGATCAATTCGTCTAGATCTGATGCATACCTTTAATAATAGAAATATAGATATTAATCAGACCCGTTTTGAAAAGACAAAGAAACACGAATACTTAAGAGAAACGACAAAAACTAAAATCAGTTTAGTTACGAAATGTTCAAACTGTTTTCTGAAACATAACACATTACACCTTGATAAAGAACTGAATAGATTTAATCCAAGAATGTAAAACGTCTGATCCACAAACATAAATACGTCAATTTCGATACAAGTACTTATATACATGTACATATTCGCATATTTTCAAGAAAACATGGAAATCTATTTCATAATGATAATGAGCAACTATTACTGGGTGAGCAAATTCCTCAACAAAAATTAACCTGATATTCTAAAAGATAAAATTTTAGTAATATGACCGATCAAAATAACTGTTATAGTGGCTCGTTTTTTTTATTTTGGAATAGACAAACGCAGTAATCTATAACCATTACCATTTTGGTGAGAGATTTACATTGTCATCTGAGCATTTTGCAAGTAGTTTATGCAACCGAACTTGACGAAGTCCCTTGAAAATGGTTGCATCTTTTGGTTCCCGAAAAATGAACTCAAGGGAAATTTCACTTTCCTATTGTATGCTCCATAAAAAAATCATGTTGGAATAACGAAATACGTCATTGCCATGTTTGCACATTTCAATAGGTAGGCTATCGAAATTGCGTTAGATTGATTTTCAAAAGTAGTCGCTATCGTGATCTTCTTGCATGCAATTGTCAAATACTTTCAGACCCTTAGTGAAGACAAGTAAGCAAGAAGAAGAAAGCAAGTATGCGATTGGAGAGTTTATGATAAGAATATAAAATTGTCATACTGTGGTTGAAAGATTCTGTTTCCGATGTTATCGATCTTCTTGTATTCCAATAGAGCGAGTGTACTCTCTGTTGATGTAGGAAATAAATGATATAGAAAAAAACATGGTTAACAGTGGATCTGTACATCTGCTTTCATTAAAGGTAAAGACCAATATTGGAAACGCCCCAATTTTAAAAAATGAAATGGAAGTTCTCATTACCAATCATGTGAAAGAATATGTTTTGACTAATACATGATGATAAAGAATTTGCCGGGAAACCGCCTACTAATTCATATATTTGGTAAATTTGTTTCTCTCATGGTCTGTGAGAGATATAGGGTAGTCCCATATACATCCTTCTGTGTATAGTGCTTGTAACTTTACGAAGAATGGGCCAAATTTCTCATCATTTTGATGATTCCAGAACCTTGCAGATGCTAGATGCTAGATGATCAACCTTTTCTGATCGATTCCACAACGTTTCTTTCACAATGCAATCGCATGATCATAACTGGTCTTTACCTTTAAAGCGTGTTCCATTAATATAATTAATTGGTGAAGAAGTTTTTGTGTCAATCCGGATGTGTGACTTAGACTATTGGAATCATTCAGACAAGGACGAATCATAATGGAAGATGAAATCAATTTAAGATGATAAGGGGCTTGTATCGTCCAAATGACGTGTTTTGGGAGGGAAAAACTATATTTCGTGGGTTCCTTGTTCCGTGCACTGACTTTCAAATAATTCCCTAATCTGCTAATTACTATCATATAAAAAGTGACCGGTTATCTTGTTCTTCTCTCAGCAAATATGTCCTTCATATAGTACGGAAGTAGTTACTTGTATTGGATCCATCGTCGAATGCCGAGGGTGGCATGGTGGCTACAGCTCGTGTATTCTTCATGGTCGTATTTGTAAACATCTTGTCGCCAGGGTATGAAAGAGACTGCTGACGGCCGGCCGGTACACTTCCACACGTCATGTCTATAAACAAAAAATAACACAAAATATTACGTGAGATGCTTAGAAAAATGATGATTTAACTATTAAAGGGTCTTGGTAACACTGTTCAGATGAAGGAAAATGGTGCTAAGGTAGTGAATTTAATGCTAAATGTACAGTTAGAGATATTTTGAAAGTTTAAGTGAAAACAGACCATTATTAATGATAACAATTGGGAAAACTGATCTAATCGATTCTGCAATTCTCCCAACTATATTAATACAATTTAATTATATTTTAGGTGATTGTAAAACGTCACAAAGCTATGTATTGGCTCTATATACCATCCCAGACATTAAAGTGTTCAAGATTTTTTTTGTAAAGCCTGTCTTTTGTCTTATTTTCATGGGACAATGTTTGGTAAAATTCAAAAATGATTGGGAGAATTTACTGTTAGAGGGTGTTGACCAGTGACGCCTCACAAGAAACTATAAAATCTTTGTGGTTTCAGAATTTTTTTCAGGATTTTTTGCATGCTAGAGGGTTTGTACAGTATAAGGAATATAATCAGTTAACATTTCATACACAATTTGCGCAGTTTTTTCATCAACCTTCAACGATGTTACCGAGGCACTTTAACGGAATTTGTATGTATCAAAGAATTATGTGGAGATGTCGTGTAAAGCAGGGCTCCCACTTAGCCGAGTTGGAGCCTCGAGTTGTGGCGAGCTGGCGCGATCTTATGGTGAGCAGTTTTATCATTAAAACATATTTCTTGATATCAAGAATACAATTCTTGATATCACGAAATCGAATTCCTGATATCACGAATTCGAATTCTTGATATCAAGAATTACCATTGCTTTACAACGTAAAATTATTTCTTGATATCAAGAATTGATTTCTTGATATCAATTAATAATAAAACGGCTTGCCATCAGATCGCTCCAGCTCGCCACAACTCGAGGTTCCAACTCGGCTAAGTGGGAGCCCTGCTTTAAGAGTGGTTCATTCACTTGACTCTCAATCTTAGGGTTGAGGGTTCGATTCCCAGCCCGCCACTAACGTACTTTGGCAAGACAATAATCCACACCTGCAACTCTCTAGTTAACTTAAAATGGGATCTTATGAATGGCTGAGGTAATGATAATTGCAGGGTCCGCAGGAAGAGCATTATTGATAATGATGTGGCCAATTATTATTATAATACTATTATTATCATTAGTATTATTATTTTTTATTATTATCATTATTATTAGTAGTAGTAGTAGCAGTAGTAGTAGTGGTGGTAGTAGTAGTAGTAGTAGTAGTAGTAGTAGTAGTAGTAATAGTAGTAGTAGTAGTAGTAGTAGCAGTACTAGTAGTAGTAGTAGTAGTAGTAGTAGTAGTAGTAGTAGTAGTAGTAGTAGTAGTAGTAATAGAAGCAGTGCTATAATTGGTATTATTTCTACACAAAATATTATTATTATTTTCATTATTTTAACTTGTATTAGTAATATTTATGATTATATTTATTATAATCATGGTTGTGTTATTATTGTTATTATTATTCTTGTCGTTGTTGTTGTTGTTTTTGTTTTTGTTTTTGTCCCTTCTTACCGATAGTGTCGGTGGAGACTGTTCTGGCAGTGTTCTCTTCGAGTTCTTCAGCTACGATAAAGGCGACGTCGTCCATCACTGTGGTGATGTTGACTGATACGCTCTGTATTAGCATACAAGGGACATTAAAATGAAGGTTGAATTAAAGTTCGCTCAGACATGACGCGGTAAGACGCGGTAAGACGCGGTCAACCGCCGCAGTTTTTCAAATGTTAATGCGTACTTAAATGGCAACTGCGGGCAACAAATGTCTTACTCGTCTTCACTTGGCTCTGTGTGATAATAAGATACAGAAATGTGTAACGTTTTGCACTTTACGTCATCATTTAAAAAAAGATTCGCCTTTGTTAACCGCTACAACAATGATTTACGATAAAGATGAAAGGTAATACGTGATATTTCTCATCCTGTGTATGCCACTTCGAAAAAATATCATAGTAAAATTGTTTCCTAAAAACAGGATTACTCTTCAAATAGTCTCATATTCGAAATATGACAAGGAAATTGAAGGAATACCTGACAATTTCAGACCAAACTTTCATGGCACGTGAGCAGTGCATGCGATTTTGAGCAAGTCCATATTTCTTTTAAAAAATCAATGTCAAAACCTAAAAGTATATTTATTTCTATATATTACATAACCAACCTTTTCTCAATTGCTTCCGGACAGTTTAAAACGCAATGTAAATGTTTACATGATTGTGTTGAAGGGTAAATAAGACGAATTTATTATCATAATTATTACATAATTATTCAGCCATCTTGATTTACTTACTTTCTGTTGATCTTCTCCGTCTGAACTAAGAAGCACGCTGCCTATACTCAGTGTGCGCTGTCAAAAGGAAGGGAAAACAAGAATAGCTGTATCATTTACAAGTTTGTATAACTTACTGAGATAAGTTTAGGAGATCTTGTGTAGACCAGTTTTGGAAACGCCCCCTCTCAAAAATTGAAATGGAAGCTCTTATTACATGTGAAAGATTATGTTTTGACTAATACGTGATGATACAAATTTTGCCGAGAAACAGCCTACTAATTGACATAATGGGTAAATTATCATATCGATCAGGCCTGGATAGATATTGAACATCTGGGCATATACTTCTGCTTTGTTGCGAATTTAAGTTGAAGTATTGCCATCTAAACGTCTGAAGGCAATATTTAAACAATATTGAATGGATATTTTGCACCCAAATCCCTTGAACTGCAATTTTACCACTACCGGTCTATATCTTTAAAACTGTCTTAAAACCAAAAATATGTCTGAATAATCATCTCCGTTAAGCTGAAATACCACCACATAATTATGTTTACCTCTGCAAATGAAGTAGCAGTATCGATACGTTCTTGATCAGTCTTCTCTGAGTCACCCAGCTGCTTTTTCTGGAGTTGATTCAAATCGGACAGGAGATTAACGACCTCGTTGTCTTCTAACTCCGTCTTCGTGCTGCCATCTTTGAGTAGATATTCGATGGATGCCGCGATATCCACCGCTTCTTTAGTTCCCTCCAAAATTTGCTGGATGGAAGATTAAAATACAGGCCCACTCTTTAACGCGCAATCCTCTGTTGGAAACCATACATTCAATACTTTATGGTTTCATGGTTTATATTTATGTATACCTGATTGCTAAGAGAGCATGCTGTAAGCAAGCAACCAGGGAACCGACGGCTTCTAGTCCTACCCGGGGGCCTTGGTGATCGACTGGGTTTCAAACCCGGGACCTCCCTGCATGGTACGAGATCATTGCTCTACAACTAAGCCATCGCGACTGAGTTTCGATTTCTTAGGAGGCAGGATGGCTAAGTGGATCGAGCACTGCTATTAACTGATCCTGAAGGTCCCGTATTCGACACTGAGCTTGTGTCATGGTAAGGTAAGACACAATATATTCCAAATTACTACTTGTGGTTGCGTAGCGTTCATCGTTACTTAATTTCGGAGAGTATTGAGTAAATTAATAGACTCTTCATCAACAAAACCGTGATTTTCTCCGTTATTTTTAATTACTGGCAGTGATGGACTGCAGTGGCGCAGCGCGGTGCCAGTCTTTCCTTTCATTTTAAGCAGGAACGTGTTTACGGTTCCCTGTTTTATATCAGCAACAAAACACATTGATAAACTTAAGCTACTAAAATCGTGGCATTTGATTGACTACTCAGCAAATTTGTTCTATAACTCTGGCCGTGTTATTGATGACAATTTTCATGAAACAGTGCTCAGTTTCATTAACCTGTCTGACTTTAAAAATTACCATGATAGGCCTCTACACATAATTATCTAGGTGTTTATAATTACTTCATCCAGTTTTTGAGCTTCACTAATTTCGGTGCATCCGGACTTATCGGGACCGTCGTTTTGCCACATGCCTCCTTCTAAACACGAGAAGGTCACTTTCCCTGCGAGTAAATCAAGGGTAGTTAATAGGATAGTTAATAGGATAGTTAATTGCTAAAAAGTACTATGTCCCATAACCGTAATCAATGGCTCTCGATAGGCGTATCCGCACTATGAATATGACGGACAAAGAAAGCGGACAAAATATACAGTTCCTCTGGTAGACAAAGGAACATCCCTTCACTGCTATTAATGTAAAAAGGTGAATATGCATGTGACACCTGTTCTATACATTTTTACATAATAGCAGTGAAGGGATATTCCTTTGTCTACCTGAGGAAGTGTATATTTTGTCCGCTTTCTTTGTCAGTCATATTCATAGTGCCGGCATCGTTTAAAGAAACCATCATTAGTTCAATTTCGCCGACATCTAATAAGAGCGTGAGATATCAGTAAACGTGTTCTTAACATGGTTTCAGTAAAAAATGCCAAGTTGTTTTACGATTATAAGCATAAAATATTTGGATTAATATGCGGCAATGCTTCGTTCTTAGTCAGTTAAGAGAGCTGATATTTTCTAAGGAGTTCATGTTTCTTCTTTATTATTTGTGTCATGATTCATTATGATACATCACTGATAGCAGTCAAAAGGAGAAGCTCTTATATAAGAGGCCCCAATACAATGAAAAATATAACATCCATGCAGAGATAATAATATGGTAATCGTTTATTGAAAAACAAAGCGAAAGACAGATAAACAAACGACAACATCGACAAAATTAACTCAGAGTTTGTAATTCATTATTTTCTTTTTCCTTCATATTTCTCGAGCAAAAGTATGACCTATTTCAAAAAATTAAGGGTTGATAATTCTTCATTAGTGTTATATGAGAACTTGGTATCATTTCTCTTTCTGATAAGAGGTAGACGTACTTGTGACGAATGAAAATGAAAAATTACCTGTAAATCCTTGAGGGCAGGGTTTGTCGATAGTGGTATTTTCTGGAGTAACCTCATATGTTGTATTCACATAGACCCTCTCATTACAGTACATAATAGGAGCTTCTGATCGAGCTGTCGTGTAGAGTGCATTGTAGACGGCTGGGTCATCTAAAGACAGAAATTATTTAAAGAAGTAATGTTTCGTTTTCGTATTACTTGAGCAATTTTCCGGTAACTGTAACTGTTCTCGTAACATTGTGTCGTTTAGGAGAAATATCATACCAGGTACACATTTTTGACATACTGGCTTACCCGTCACTGTCGGAAGAAAAAAAACTGATCATTTTCGTATCATTCATTTGTTAATTGAAAAATAAATGGTTCTGATACCCTTATCCCGTTTGAGGTATTGTGACTTCCCTCCCTTTTGCCGCAACACCTCACATTTAAATGCTCAAGCGACATCCCTCCTTTTGCAAATTTTGAAAAAACGGACCCATTTTTAATGGTATATTTGTTAAAATTGGGACCCATGTTTAGGGACTCTTTGTGAAAAAGTGACACATTAGAGCGGCAAACCCTTGTATGTCCTTATATGTGAGTACCCCCCCCCCCCCCCCCACGGCATCCCTCCGTCATTTAAATGCTCAAGCGTAATAACACGTTCCACGTTCCCTGATCGCTCTATCTGGTCCGCCACGCCCTTTCCCATCACAATGGAATAGCCACACCCCACTTAATATACAACGGGACACTGGTATTACACAGGATTGACTGTGAATATTACATTCATAGCATGCGTATCAATTTTAATCAACTATTATAGGTAGTTATCGACCCAAAATGCAAGAGTCATTTCGTTGTCGATATGACCCCTAGAAAAGAAAATAGATAAAGCGAGGATTAAATTGACAAAACTCTTTCTTACCTATCACACATTGGTATCGTAAGTCCAGATGCTTCTGGGGGATACAGGGGTTATTCTGGAAGAACCTGTTAGTTATTTGAAGATCGCAGAATGAGTTCCCATTGCACCTATATAGGATATAGAAGTAAAATATAAAATCTGTTGTTTTTGTTGTTGGTTGTTGTGGGGTGGGGTGCTGGTGTTCCTGATTCAATAATATTGTTCATCGATGATTGGATATTTGTTGACATATTGTGTGAGACGATGTTGCCCCTCCCCCTGTGTTGACATGATTATTGTATTTTCAAGCAGCTATTTTATTCTATCCAATACAACTTCTTAATAATTGTCTAATTCGGTCCTTCTGTCTCAGGGGCGGGTAAATTATTGTCATAAACGGGGAGGGGGTGGTTTCCCATCTTATTTTATTTGGAGCATGATTTCGGAAATCCAATTGGCCATTCGACCCTCTCTTTTGTCATCCCTCGGAAAGTCTAAATATTGCTGGCCTTTTTTCTTCTTCTCTGGACTATATACAACGGTTTGTATTTATTAAAATAATATACGTGTCTATATACTATAGACATGAACAAAGTTATAGGCAGCGAGGTACTGCCGGACTTTTGTCTCGGATTGTCATGATTTTCACCACTTAAATTACAAGCTTTTCACTGTCAAATACAGACATAAGTTCGCATAACCAACATTTCTGACTTACGCAGCGGCTGTTTTCTCCAAGGATGTACGTGCTAAACAAGTCTGACCAGCTCCTAGAAAGTTTACACCATCATTGCACGTCATGTTGTCATGAAATACACCGTAGGCGGCGTACTCTATGCGAATCCGCTTCTGTTCGACTGCGCATGACACCTGAATGTTTTCTCCCTCGCAGAATTTGTTCGCTTTGCTGTCTATGGGTTTGTAAATTGAACACATTTAAGAAGATGAATAGTGAATTTTTAGTGATAACATATAAACAAAATGAGAACATGTTATTAATGAACTAAATGTAAACGGTTAACTTTCATAAATTGCATTTATAAGGCATTGATTTATATAATCTTTGTGAATATCGATGACCGTTATAAAAGTCATATTCTTCTTTAATGAACAAATTATTTCGAAAGAGAATCGAAATGAATCAACATTGCGTTTGTATCAAGTTTAGTTTAAGTGAGTTTAAGAAGAAATATGCGAAAGTGGGCAGTATAAAAAATATTATTGGGTAAATTTGTACGTTTAGATGTAAATTGGACAAACTGCCTTTATAACTTACATGTTCCAGACCCGTCAGTTTTCTCACAGAAGGGCCCGTAGTACTGGGGTGGGCACCGGCACTGGGAGCCCCAAGCATCGTAACCCTCTGTGGACATTGATGAGACATTTTACTAACTAGACATATTATAGTAAGCTGAGCAGGAAACAATATTTCCCACAATATGTTGATAATTATCAGTAACGTTGGGCAATGGAAAACTTCTAAGTCTATCAGCAAACGAATGTATTGAACAAATATGCAATACATTTCAAACGTTAAAATGGCTATTAAAAATGAATTTAAAAAAAATGAAATGTATTTGCATGGTCATCCAGATGATCTAGATATAATTATGTCAAAGCTGAAGTTTTGCTGAATCAGGTCCGGTTCAATCCTTCTATAAGGATAATGTTTCGTTCAAGAGGCAAGCATTTTGGAGAAAATGCTGGTTTATGAGTTTTACCTTCTTCCCAATAAAATTCTAATTATTTTAAAATTATTGATATCCGTTATCCCTCGGTCACCAAACGCAATTCGTTTTGCGAGCTCGTGTCTTTTTTTTTCTCTTTTTAAAGTAATAAAGTACAATTCTTATTTCATAATATTTCAATTAAGGTGTTTATTATATACTTGCTACGACAAAACTTTCCATAAGATACTTGTATAACCTTGGCACGCATGTATACTCACCAGGCGCATACGCAGGATTTTTTCAAGGGGGGAGGGGTTAACATTTATGAATCGGGCCGAAAATTTCGCAACGACTCAGCCAGCTGCTGAATAAGCGGGGGGGGGGGGGGGGGGGTAGGCCAGCCATGGGAATATTTTTTTTTTTAAATAAAAGGGGGAGGGGGGTTTTCACACAAAAAATACTTAACCCCCCCCCCCCCCCTCCCTGTGTACGCGCCTGATACTCACCACAAATGAAGCCGTAGGTGGAGTTACAGGGTTCCTGTTGTGGTTTACTGACGGTCATACCCTTGGAGTAGATCATACAATCCCCGTCCTCACTATCCCCTACACCGGCGTCAAATGTCCCATTCAACGGATACCACTTCCACTCCGAGCTGGCTCCGTGATAGCGGGCACTCACCCAGTAGGTTGCTGGTGGTTCGAATGAGAAAACCAAGAACCTCATTTAAAGTGTGTTCAGAATAAACACAAAGAAACTTTTGTCGATTTTCTTTGTACACCATTCTTGTCGTAATATATGAAATATGTTCAATTAATGGTAGATAAGCATGGCGTAATGCTATGATTATCAACACCACCATTCCATCCGGCTATTGAGGTCGCTTGTCCGGATCTGACGTTGCCTACCAGATTGTGTTTCTTCTTCTTTACCCGTCGTAATAAATCATCTTTGGTAAGCTGATCTCGGTGAGGGGGAGGGGGAGGAGGGAGAGGGGGATGGGGGGGGGGGGGTGAGGTAGCAATGGTGTTGATCTGCGCTTCACCCACACCAGATGCCTTGACAAGGATTATGTCAATGTTTTTTTTAGTTTAGGCCTAAGATGCAACATTCAGTGGGACTGTGGGAGTGTCGTGGTCGAGTGGTTTAAGGCGCTCGACTGGAGATGCGAAGGACGAGGGATCGAATCGTGACACGGCACTAATATCCTTTGGCAAGATATTTACCTGCACTTGCTACTCTCCACCCAGGTGTTAAATGGGTACCCGGTAGGATGTGAAAGTTAATGTGGTTAGATTAGCAAATGTGCGCTTGTAAAATGGCGACTGGCTAGATGCTCCCAGGGAGTGGAACATGTGCGTACATTGTGTGAAAATCTACAAATTCGTGAAAGGGCAAACATTTATGAATTTTTTTTAATTGATAACATTCCTAAACGTATGGTGACAAAATATTCTTTATTAGCAAAATACAGTCTTTTCTTTTCAAATTTAAAATTTGAAATTTGCAATGTTCTATTCACCTCATTTGTTTTGTATACGAGTATTTTGATCTGAAAGTGTGCACATACTTACATAAACTCATCTTGCTGCTCTTTATAAAATTTGAGATAAGGTTTTGAGCGCTTGCAAATATCTGGTAAGAGCTTTAAGTTCTAACTTTCAAAAATGTAATCAGTGCAATGGACCCTAATGGTGATTTTCCACTATTTTCTTGGCTTTTTTTTTATACTTACAACCGCTAACGGGAAAACCGTTTACTCCAAATGTCTCCTCGGTTTTATTTTCAAACCCCACAAGTCCTCCTCCTTCTTCTTTACAATACTCGTTCGCTTTAGCCCATGTCATCGGTGTGGAGGATACGTGTAAATAAAACACACCCTCGTATTCTATGCTGACCCCATCAACTGGTCCTGAGAGAGCAAGAGGGAGAAAGAGAGAGAGAGAGAGAGAGAGAGAGATAGTAGTAGTAGTAGTAGTAGTAGTAGTAGTAGTAGTGAGGGGAAGATGTAAGAGAGAAAGAGGGAGATCCAGAAAGAGGAGGAATGAATAAGAATGAACGAGAGAGAAGAAATAGAGAGAGAAAGAGAGAGTGGAATAATGGTATAAGAAAGGAAGAAAGGGGTGAGAGATAGAGAGGGTGAGAAAGAGATGGAGAGAGGGAAGCAGAGTGGAGAGAAAGATGGAAAGATTAAAGGATCAGACGGAAAAACAAAGTGCGTGGATTACAAGCTTAATTATAGTTCTGTAAAGTAAATGGCAGGCTTGTCGCTCTATGTGTTTCAATGACATACACATTAGAGTGATATTCCTCTTCAAAAAGGGTTTTTTAGGACACCTACCCCCTGGACATCCACCCCCGGATAACCACCCCCAGCTAAATACCCCCTAGGACAACAAACCCCTAGGACAACTACCCCCTAGGACAACCACCCTTTAGGATGACTACCCCCGGGACAACTACCTCGGACAACTACATCCAGACAACTACCCCCTACGACAACCATCCTCTAGGACACCTACCCCCTCGAACAACTATCCTAGGGGGTAGTTGTCCGGGTGGTAGTTGTCCGGGTGGTAGTTGTCCGGGATTAGTTGTCCTAGGGGTAGTTGTCCGGGGTAGTTGTCCTAGGGGGTAGTTGTCCTTGGGGTTGGTTGTCCTACTGGGTAGTTGTCCTTGGGGGTAGTTGACTGGGGTGGTTATCCGGGGGTTGATGTCCAGGGGGTAGGTGGCCCCGATACGTTAAAAAAGACTTTACCAATAATAAACGTTAAATGAAAATATACATGAAGATATATATTTAGCTAAGATAAGCCAATATGATATACATGTAGAGTATAATTTTGCCATAGGCTAATATATTAATGTTTAAGCCTCGTAATCATCATTATTCTTATATTACAATCGATAAAACTTCATACATGCTAGTCACAAATTATGACTAGCAACCGTTGATTTCATAGATGTGTTCAGCTATGTTGGGGGTCATTTATTCGTGATTCAATCCAAATCGTAATTAGCAGCAATTGCTGTATTGTTCAAATTTAACAAACACAAATACATAGAATAACATATTTCCCATGGTAAAATGAAACGAACATCACTTTCAAAAATGATAATCGGGTTACATAAGCCATTGTGGGTTAAATCATCCAAAAAAAAAGAGAGAAGAAAACGTCATAAATTATAAAACATAATTTCAGAGAGAGAAGTATTTGCATTCATTCAGTATGATTACAATAATGATAATCCCCGTATTGAAGGATACGGCAGTTTGTTCCGGAGTAAATAGGGTAGCCTAAAAAATAGATCGGGGGGGGGGGGGTGTTTCACAAAGATCCTAAGTCAAACTTATCTCTAAGTTGGACTTAAAAATTATGGAAAGCCGTTAGCATCTTTGAAAATATATTGTAAAAGTTATTTTAAAAGGCATAAAATGTTGATTCAAGTCATTCATATTTTCTATTATCAAGGAGATTTGAATATATGTTATTTTAAGGCTACAAATGGCTCTCCATAATATTTAGGGTGCGTTTAATCGACACTTTTTCACCCTAGAATCACGGTTTCTAAAGACGTTTAGTTTAAAACGCAATGCGTTCAAGCGATTTTTTCGTCGGTCGTAAAAATAAACGTGTTTGAAAACACAAACATGAAACGCTGAAAAAGATGCGTTTTGTATCATGATTCAAAAGAATCACGGTCGCTAAAATTCGATTGAACGGACGGAGTTCTCAATCATGATTGTATGACGAAGCCTCTTCCGGTTTGGGAAAAACCGCGCGCCCGCTTTGCATGCAATTTGCGTTCACTATACCATCGTGGCCTGTTCCGTTATGTTATTCATTGTTTTTCCTTCTATCATTTTCTCTTTCTGTCTTTCCTTATGTTATTCTTTGTTTCTTCCTTCTATTCTTATATTATTCTTTGTTTTTTTCCTTCTATCACCTTTTCTTATGTTATTCTTTGTTTTTATCATTCTATCATTTGCTCTTTCTGTCTTTCCTTATGTTATTCTTTGTTTCTTCCTTCTATACTTATGTTATTCTTTGTTTTTTCCTTCTATCACCTTTTCTTATGTAATTCTTTGTTTTAAGCATTCTATCATTTGCTCTTTCTGTCTTTCCTTATGTTATTCTTTGTTTCTTCCTTCTATACTTATGTTATTCTTTGTTTTTTCCTTCTATCACCTTTGCTTATGTAATTCTTTGTTTTTATCATTCTATCATTTCCTCTTTCTGTCTTTCCTTATGTTATTCTTTGTTTCTTCCTTCTATACTTATGTAATTCTTTGTTTTTATCATTCTATCATTTTCTCTTTCTGTCTTTCCTTATGTTATTCTTTGTTTCTTCCTTCTATCACCTTCTCATTCTTTGTTTTTATCATTCTATCATTTGTTCTTTCTGTCTTTCCTTATGTTATTCTTTGTTTCTTCCTTCTATCACCTTCTCATTCTTTGTCTTATTATTGCGATCTATGCTCAAAACAGCAGTCGACAGTCGGCCGTAAACAATTCCAGAAAGCGCGCGCCGAAGTTCCTGGGCCATACTGCGCAGTGTGATGCGCAGTGGTTTGGCTCGCAATGAGCTAGAATCAGCGTTGATGAAAAATCGCTTGAACGCAAACCGCAGTGACCTTGCTTTTTGTAACGGCGTTTTGAATTGTGATTCATGTTTGTGATTCTAGCTTCGAAAATTCGATTGAACGCACCCTTAAGTCCAACTCAGAGTTAAGTTCGACTTAGGATCTTTGTGAAACACCCCCCAGTTCACACATTCAATGAAACTAACTAGAGCCAATGCTAAGAGGCCTATTAGTATTTGACTACATTCAGGACGCAACAGCACGATCTTTAAAAAAAAGAAAAGCAAGTCACTTAGAATTTAAATACCTCATTGCACTTGCGATATACATCATCATTAGATTGCGTCAACGGTCATTGTAATGTTTGCCCATTTCAAAAGGAGGTGCTCAGTACCGTTTACATTGGCTTGGCTTGATTTAAAAAAAAATTAAAAATGTTGCTTTCATACTCAACACAATTTGACATGTACTTACTCAAGACGTTCATACATGTGCCTCCATTTTGGCAGGGGTTGTACACACACGACTCATCAAAAGCCACCCCTTGACACTGCGTTGCTGCTGAAAATTATAATATAGAAGACATAGAAGACATTGTGAAATAATATGAAAGTAAGAGTAATAGTAATAGTTATAGTTATAGTAATATAACTATGAGTAATATTAATGGTAATAGGTGTAGTATTAGTAATAGTTATACGAACAGTAATGTTATTGAAATAGCAGTAGTAATAGGTATAGTAATATATACATGTAATAACAATAATAAATATCATAATAGTTATAGTAATCGTAATAATAATAGTTATACTAACAGTAATAGAAATAGTCATAGTATTAGCCATAGCAATAATAACAATAATAATATTAATAATAATAGCAATAGTAATAGTAATACTAATAGTAATACTAAAAGTAACAGTAATAATAATAGCAGTCCAACAATGTGCACGCTCTTCAACTCAATTCATGGCTAGCCCTCAGCAGTCGTCATTTAACAGGCACGCGCCGTGCTGACAAAGGCGTCGCATCTGACCGGGTACCCATTTAAAGCATATCTGCCATAGTTTACAGGAGGGATTAGACCGCCCTACAAGGTCACTGAACAGGTGGTTATCTCATCAACTCAGCTCTCAGTTAACATAAGAAAAAGAGGATCATGGGGGACCAATGGTCACCGATTAGGCATTGTTTGTTATATAGAGGGCGCAAGTAGCTACAAGTAGTGCAGTGGGCCTTTAACACCTGGGTGAAGGGAAGAAATTAAATGCCGAGCCAGGATTCGAACCCACAATCTTTGCAAATCAAATCTGTTTAAACTACTCTGAGATAGCGAGATGACGAGATCATGATAGAAGGATTCGTATTTTTTGTTAAGTTAATAAACTCAGAGTAAACAGTAAAATAAACGGAACTAAACTAAACAACAAAACATGTTAGATTATTGTGAGTCTCCAACAAAAACATTGCTGGCTTAGAACCTTTCTTGTTTTATTAACACTTCAAATTTTTAATATCCGTTTGTATGTCGAACGAAATTGGAATGCACCGTCCATAAGCTTGTTATTGATTCAAGGTTGCACTAATATCCGTATGTCAGAACTCGTTGGCCGATTCAGCTGAGTATTATAGGTTTAATCAAACTTTATTCTTTCTTATTTGGAGCGGCGGGGCGTGCTGAAATGCATTAGCCATCTTTCTTTGACATTTTCTGTCATAGCTTCCACCGATCAGCTCATCTAAGTTTCAAGAAATAACGGACGGGAATATGTTCATAATATTATGTAACGTATTACATTAAATTCACATGAATTATAAGAATTGTAACTAACGAATTATGTTGTAATTATGTGAGTTTATCAAAAGGATAGAAAGCTTTCCTACAATTATCATCAGTTTATTATGAATTCTTAATTTGGAAAACGCTGTACTTACTTTATTATATACGAAAATGGATTGGAGTTTTGAGAAATGAAATCAATGAATACAAAAAACAAAC